TCACCTGTACTGCTGGTCCATGTGTGCCTTCTCGATACGCTTGTCTTTGGCCCGTCGGTTCTGGAACCAAATCTTGATCTGGGTCTCCGTGAGGTCCAGTGACTCCGCCAGTTCGAACCTCCTCGGCCTTTTTGGGGGGGGGGGGAGAAAAGGATTGAGGTGTTGCTTGAGATATTATGAGTTTCTATGGTGGAAGGATATTTTTTTCAGTGTATATACACATTTGAGTAATATATCTGGTTAATCTATACTCTCAACTTTTTTCCCTTCTCTACAAATACAAAAAAAATAAAGAAAAAAACGTATTGAAGACATCAATGGCTATATATATATAAATACACATTTAAGATAAAGATCTATTAGGAAACTCAAATCCACATTCAAAAATATACCTCAGTGCCTATACATACTGTAACCAAGCACTCAAAACATCCCTATCTATCTATACGCGTAAACACACACCCACAAAAAATATCTCTCATCCCGTCTCTACACATACACACACATAAAAAAAACACACACAAACGCGCACACACACACACACACACACACACACACACACACACACACACACACACACACACACACACACACACACACACACACACACACACAGCACACCCGAGTACAACCCAAAAAACTCACCTGGATATGTACTCATTACGGTGGTACTCCATCTCGAGTCTCAGCGTCTGTTCGGATGTGAAGGTCGTCCTCTGCCTCCGTTGCCTGTTGTCTCTCCTCCTTCTGCGTGCCACTGCGGGAGAACCAGAGGGTGCGGATAGTGTGGATAGTGTGGATAGCGACCTGAAGGACTTGGGGTTGTATATTAGGTTTGGATCTTAATGTGTTGTGCGTTGTGATGTTCGGAGCAGTGAACAAAGGTACAAGGGACGGGCAGGCTGACGAGAAAGGGATGCTTGATTCGTGAAGTTGAATGGCGTCTTATCCATGCAAGGAAAACTCGAGCAGCTAAGATCCTATGGTCCTCGATTCGTCGTCTTAATCTTAACAAGGGCAGTAAATGTTATCACGGTGAACTACCAGTCTGATGCTAACTACGTACTGTAGCTACGCCACTTCGACGTACGTTCATCTACTGAATATCCCTTTCCTATGAAATCCTCCGTCGCATCTCATCTCCGCTTCCCCATCCTCGCATCGCATCGGATTTTCCATCTCTCTCCTCTCGCTGTAGCATTATTCCATTCTCTCCCTTTCCTTCCATTCTCTCTTTCTCCCTCCCGTTCTTGTTCTCCCTCTTCCTCCCTCACGCTTCTCTTTCCTATCTGTTTCGCGTGCTATTCCCTCTTACTCTTTTCTGCTTTCTCTCTCTCTCTCTCCTACTCGTTTCTCTCTTCCTCTTTTTCCGTTTTCTCCCTCTTTCGTTCTCATTTTCCTCTTCTTCCTCTTCTTTCTCTCTGACCTCTCTCCCACTTTCTCTTTCCTCCACCTTCTCTCTCTCTCCCCCTACCCTTCTTTTCCCTCTTCCTCTTCCATCCTCCGTTCTCCCCCCCCCCCCCCTCGACTCCCATCCCTATCAATGATCGCGCCTAATCTCTCCTAAATATATCACGCGCGGCAACCAATTATGTGTCTAAGAGCCTCCATCCACTAACGTCTAATTTGTATTTACTGCAGATGGCATAATGAGTCTTAGCGCCATCACCTGAACATCACAAAAGGCTCATCAAAGGTGAGTCGTCAATACACAGCAGATGTTTAGTTCACAGCCTCGCCGCTAGGGTAGTTCACAGCGCGCCAGTCAGTTATCGTTAGAACATTGTGGAGTAAGGCTGACGCAATCGCTCGTGCCATCTCTACTATAGCTATTGCTCTAAATATTGTATGTACAGAATACCGCCATTCAGCATACGCATCCATATTACAATTATCGTCGAATATATTGCAACATGCAATGAATGTCGTCATATATATTGTCGTATCCTATAAATATCGCTAGAAGTATTGTCATCATCTCTACAAACATCGCCATATGATCTCTAAATATAGCTCTTATAAATATCGCTAAGATATCTATAAATATAATTGTATCTCATATAACCATTATTCGTCGTCTTCAACCGAAAGATTATTATAAATAAATCTAAATGAATATGCAGACAGATACATGAATACAGAGCAATAGATAGACGGACAGATGAATGCAAATGAACAGAGAGATAGATCGATATAAATAGATACTAGAGTCACAGAAGCGTCAGAACTAAAAGCACGTATTATCTATCTCTCTCTCTCTCTATATATATATATTTTTTTTTTTTGTTTTGTGTGTGTGTGTGTGTGTGTGTGTGTGTGTGTGTGTGTGTGTGTGTGTGTGTGTGTGTGTGTGTGTGTGTGTGTGTGTGTGTGCCAAAACGCAATGGAATTATACCGTGTGGTCAAATACAGTTTCCTCCATAACAAGATATTCCTAAAAAGTCACGCGTAGCTTTGTAATATTACGTCTACCTATCCCACATTCCACAAAATAATCATTCTGTAATTAATATAATGTATCTTAGTATCTTCTAAATATCTACAAGGAAGACCAGGAGCAGACGACAACACAAGCTTATAGATCTATTGAACTAAATCAACAAATACAGTACCGTGTGGACAGATATGCGGAAAATTGATTTAGACAGATACAGAAACATTCAGCTAACGAACAACCATAGTAACATGTGAAGAAATAAACACAAACATTAAAGGAAAAAAAAGAAATATATAAAGATAAATATAGATAGATTAGATAGATATATATTATTCTGATCCCATTGTGAGTAAAAGCAACATTATTTTGTCTATATTACGACTAAGAACAGAATCATTTCATCTAGTTAACTCTTTTATGCAAATTAGTCTGGTCAGAAACAGGCCATGTCACGTGCCTTGCTCATTACCATCTGGCTCGTAATCCACGGAAGCCAATTAACTCATTAGCGTCCCAGTCCGATTGTTAGTGATTGTTAACGAAGCTCCCTTGATTGTTCCTCGAGCCCAGTCGTTTAGTATTGTAGTTAGTGTGTGTTTCTGTCACCTATTTTTCTCTATGTGATGTGAGAAATGTATATATATATATATATATATATTATATATATTTATATTGTTTTTTTTTTTTAATATATATATATTATATCAGGGTTTATAGTTTTTAAATATATACAATTTTTTGTGTTATCATTATCAATAGTTTTTTGAAATATATACACGCGTGTTATCATTATCAGGGGGTTTATAGGTTTTTTATATACAACTATTTTTTGTTACTATTATCACGGGTTTATAGTTTTTGAAATATACAACTATACTATTATCTCATTTTTTTGTGTTGCTAATCAGGGTCTTATGGTTTTTGAAATATACACAACTGTTAACAAAAAATCATTGATGCTAATATTACTAATAATTGTAATGTGTGAGTGATGATGACATTGATGAGACCAAAATTGTAAAAAAAAGATATTAATAGCGATGATAATGCCATTGGTGGAAATAATAATAATCAGGAAATTAACGCTAATATAATGATAAATGACTTTAATATTAACAGAAACACAATAATGAAAAGACGAATAACTAGTCATGATAAGTGAATGAAAATTATACTAACATGCAGTAGCAAATAGTGTTATTAATGATCAAATTGAAAACGGTAACAATAAAAAGTACAACAAGAATGATGATGGTGATAGTAATAGTGATAATGATAACAATAGTGATAATGATCATACCAATGATGATAATCATGATGATAATGAGAAGAAAAAATAATGATAGTGATAACAATGATGATGACAATAATCAGAATAATAATAATAATGACAATGATGATGATAATAATAACATTAATGACAGTAACAATATCAATAATAATAACATACATAATATAATAATAATAAAATAATATAATCAATACTACTATATAATAATGATAGTAATAATAATAATGATAATAATAATCATATCATAAATAATATAATAATAACAATAATTTATATAATCAAAATAATGATTATGATTAATAATGATATTAATAATAATAATAATAATAATAATAATAATAATAATAATAATAATGATAATAATAATAATATAATGAGATAATAATAATAATAACAATAATAAATATAAATAATGATATAATAATAGCGATAATAATAATGATAACAATAAGAAAAATAGTGATAATGATAACCACAATAACAGCGATAATAGAATATTAATGATACTACTACTGCTATTACTAAAACTACTACAACTACTAATGATAATTATATCGATGATGATAATAACAATAAGCAATAATTATAATAGAATAATTAATGATTATGATAATAGTAACAATGATAACAATAAGGATAATGATGACATAGTTGTAATAAAAGTAATAATGATTAAAATACAATGATAATATAAACATTAATGATAACAATAATAGTATTAATAATAATAGCAACAACAATAATAATGAAAATAATAATATAATGATAACAATAATAATGACAGTGACAATAGTAATGATAATAACTATAACAACAACGGTAATAACAATTACACTAATAATAATAACAATAACGAAATCAGTAATAACAATAATAATGCTAACAATAACAACAACAATATCGACAATAATAATAATGATAACAATAACAACAACAGTAATGACAATAATAATAGTAATAATGATAACAATAACAAAATCAGTAATAACAATAATAATAATGATAATAACAATAGCATTAACAACAGGATCACCACCACCACCACCACCACCACCACAAAACAACAACAACAACAACAACAACCTTCACCTTTGACAACATTAGCCTCCCTCAAAGCGCACTATTAATGCCAAATGAATCATGAATATTACCTGAGATAAGTTTACTGTCGAATACGTGTGAGCCCGGACACGTGGCAAGCCTACATCTCTCGCTTTCTCTGTCTCTGTCTGTTTGTCTGTCTGTCTCTGTCTGTCTGTCTCTGTCTGTCTGTCTGTCTCTCTCTCTCTCTGTCTCTCTCTCTCTCTCTCTCTCTCACTCTCGCTCTCTGTCTCTATATATATATATATATATATATATATATATATATATATATATATATATATATATATATATATATATATATATATATATATATATATATATATACCTCATATAACACTCATTCTTATTTTCTCTCTCTAACCATCTAACCATTTATCTCTCTCTCTCTCTTTCCTTCTCTTTCTTTCGCTCTTTCTTTCTCTCTCACTCACCCTTACTCTTTCTTTTTCTTTTTTTTTTTTTCTTCCATCCTCTCTTCTCTCCGTTCCCTCTTATCCCTCTTATCTCTCTCCCTCCTATCCCTCTCCCTCTCACCCTTTCGTTCAATTTCTTTCTCTTTTTTTTCTCTCTCACCCTTTCTCTTATTTTTTTCGTTTTTTTAGTTCATATTTTTTCCGCTTTTTATTTTTTCCTTTTCAATAATGGAAAAATAACATATCGGAGGATCTTTTGGCGTGTTATACAACTAGATGTATAATAAAATAACGTTAATTAGGCATCTACAGACAAGCGAAAAATCGGTATTAAAACATCACTAGTTATTAGTTATCTTAATGGTTTAAAAAAAGTCCTAAAAACAAGTCGCGAACATTTAACAAAACTAACGAAAAAAAAATCATGCAAATATACACCGACCTCTTCAACAAAAGCTAAAACATGATGCAATTAACACGAAATTATAACAGCGAGTATAACAGTTTTGTCA